GTGGTGTAATATAGGCATTGGTTAAATGACATGCACTATTCTTGTGATGGCAGTTTTATTTGGTCGCGTTACTTTGTATCTGATTAACTTTGAAAAATCTGATTGTTCCTTCCTGAGCTTTAATTCTCATTTTTTCAGATTTTATTTCGATACAAATCATTTTTTATCGGATCTGCAATCGCTAAACGATCTTTACTTTCTCAAATAAAAGCTCGCATGAGTACATTTACCAAAAACTCTATTCAGCTAGCATCTCAATTCTAGTTAAAAAAAACTAGAATTTATCTTTTTAAATTCGATATATTTTTTTTTTAGTTTTATTGCAAGATATACACCTCTTAATTCGATTGCATATTAATACAAATTATCTATAACCGTACTAAAATTAGTATCTTATTACCCAATAATTATCCTAACTGCTTTATGACTAATTTAAGTACTATTGATCAATTTATTACAGAATTTTAGTTTGTAAATTAATATTAATTATATTTTATGAATAATAGCATATTTCCGATTTATCACGAGATCATTTACGCTTTATGACAATCAAGTATTTAGCTTTTATCGTCATCTTAGCAATTGTCTACTAATAAATTTATTGTCAATCTGTCGAATTGATTTCAAAGCAAACGGAGAAGGATATATATATAAAAAAAAATTTAAGATTATGAATAGAAGCACTTCAGTAAGAATGACAGCTTGCACAACATTTATTTAGCTTGGAGGTATACGAAAACTGCTACCCTTTTGTATCAGTTTTTAAATGATAAACTGAATGACTAGAGGCATAATGATGAAAAGGCGAATTCGAATTTCCGATTCTAGATAAGGAAACGAGGAAATGAAGCAGAGCGATATAGGCTTTTAGATACTTTTAAAAGCTGCAGAAAATAAGCTAAAATTGTTTTAAATTATTGAATAATTCGAATAATTAATAATAATTCTTTTTTTTTTCAATTTTAATGAATAATAATAACCTATTTTCGAGTGAATTCAATGAATAATTGTCGAAATATTATCGTAAAAATAAACTTAAATTATCTCTTTACATGTCTTAAATAAATTAATTTAAATACTTTATAGACTTCTCTATATAAATATAATGCGTTATATAAATAAAAGTGCATATTTAATTCATTTATAATAAAAAAATAATAGTATAAATGCATTAGATACGCACGCTTTTACAGGAACAATTTCAATATAATAACAGACGACTAAACCTATTATTTTTGACTTAAAAAACCTAAAAGAAGGATAAAAATAATTTGCAAACATATTTATTATTATGTCGACTGGCAAAATCACCTAAACTTCGAGCTAAAATCTCGAATTACCACATATCAGCCTGGAACTATTACGTAGGGGATAGAAGAATATGATGCTGTTNGGTTTCTTCTATTGTCGATCCCTGTCATACGCTGGATAGTGGTGTAAAGGGATATGTAAATCATTGGCACAGATAGTATCTATGATCGTAAATCCAGAATCCATGTGTGGATCAGTATCAAGCGAGAAAAACTACAAGTCCCCCTTTTGTCGTAGCTAAAATGTGGTTTTTACAACAGCATTTCTTAGATCCAAAAAAATCTATATAATCCTATGAGCGAGACTGCAACCAAGCATATCCCCTCAAGTTATAAAATCAATGTTCGGAAGGCATAAATATTTTATTTGTAATACGACTGAAAAATAGAGTAAATAAAGTCAGAAGCAAACTCCGGAGAATACAGGCATAGAGAATACAGTGATGAAGGCTTCTTGTTATCGTCAATATCTTACAGTTAGTAATACTATATAATATGCTGGAAGGTATAGGAAAAAAGTATATATATATATATGGGGGAAAAGAAGTAAAAAATATATAATAATAAATGCACTCATAATATGGTAAATATATATTTTAATAAATTATATAATGTATAATGGTATAGTATGGAACTCTGTAACAACATTACAAATCAAACAATGTTACCTTACTTAACATAAAAAAAAGAGGATACAGACACAGATATTACTATATTCTCTCTCAAAATACATATATATATTTATACAAAAACAGGAAAAAAATATATTTTTTTGATAGTTTTAGATATCTTGGAAAAATATATAAATTTTTTATGAGTAACAGTGGCACTATTATTTATCAATGTAGCTTCTTCTAATAAATTGTTCAGTTTTTACATGTATAACACATTTATATCAAGATTTTTTAAAATGTTATTCTTTTTTTTTTTTCTTGTATGTTTTCTGAAATTTATGAAATGTTATATTCTGATGTTTGAATAATTAAAGTGTTGATTCAGAATGGATATTAATAAATTAACATTATAGTTTTTTTTTTGTATGTTTATATATAAAAAATTTACTTTGGCTGAAGTTAGTGACAGTTCCTATCATAATTTTAACTGTTTATCATAATACATTAATGCATTTTAAATCAAATTTTTGTTTTAAATTTTTTTTTTCTTTTCCTTCTTTTAATTTTAGATTCTCTAGTTTATTTTGATTTAGCTAAAATCAAGTTATAAATACATCTAAATCAAAATTTCTTATGAAATATAAGAAGTTTTCCTCAAAAATATTTAGTTTCAATCTTAAAACATGCTAACTTTGGGCTCATATAATATCATTTAGCTTTAAGCAAACTTTAACTTAGTTTCAGACTAATTGCTTTATATAATAGTAAACTATGCTAAATTCTGATATCTATGCAATCCTGAATGTCAGAAATTAACATAGCTAGTTCTAGTTTTAAGAGAAAAACATTTATCCATTTTGCTTTGATCTGTCTGTTCACCTTCTCCTTTTCCTTCCCTTCTAGCCTAAACCTCTGAGAATGCTTTTGTCTTTCTTTAATATGAATATAAATTGTAGAAACTAAGTTAATTTTAGAACTATGTTTGCATAAATATCAAAAATTAGCCTAGTTTCCAATTATATACTGTAATTAATTCTGAGACTAAGTTAATGTTGCTCAATTTTTACATATAATTCCAACATGTAGTAATTTTCATTCCAACATTTCTTATCTAAAATAAACATAAACATTTCTCCTTTAATTATATCACTTGTGAACATTTCTTACATAAATCCAAACAAATTATATAACTTATAAAAATAATTTTATACCCTTGAAAACATTTTAATTTTGATACAAAATATCATTAAAAAAAATTAAAATTTATTTAAACAGTATTAAATTAAAAAATAATAATAATAATATATAAAGTAAAAGTTTATATTTGGAAAAATTAATTTAAATGTTTATTTAAATAACTAATTTTATATATTTAATTCCCATTTGTTTATTAGTTAATTTAAACATGTATAATATATGAATTTCCTTTTTTTGTTTTTAAATTATTTTCTTATATAATACATGCATTTTACATAAGGAAATATTATATTTTAAAATTAATAATGAATAAAAATTAAATTCTTTGGAATTAAATAACAATTTAAAATTCTCATGAGTATGTATATACTGTACTGTACTGTACATATATACATTAAAAACTGTCAACTGTATAAAAATTAGCTAAATTTATAAGATAATCATTACAAGATGTTTCATAATAACTTACTTAATCCCTAAATTAAAAGTTTAATGGTTTTCTAATTAACATTTTCACCTTCTAAAAATAAAATTTTATTAATTTTTACAATTATTCTTCTTAAACAAAATTAATATTATATANAATGCACACCATATTCACCCATAGAGATGGAATCATTACTCAAGTCATCAAAAGCATAAACTATATCATTAACATAGCAGATAAACAATAAGGGACTAAGAGAATCTTTTTGTGGTAAGCCCTTCTCTAGTGGATAAACCTCAGTTAACCCAACACTGGTAAAAATCCTTGCCTTCAAACCTGAGAATAAATTTTGGATAATTTTAATAAATTTATCAGACGTCTCAAGCATTTCTAATTTAGAAACCAATACTTCTATTATAACACTGTCGAAAGCTTTTTCATAGTCTAGGAAAGCAGCCAACAAATGTTATCTTTTCTTAGAAAGTTGCCTACAAATCAGGGAATGAAGAATTAGAATATTACAAAAAGTGCTCTTCTGCAGTTGGAAAGCAAATTGTACAGGTGAAATAAGATTTCTCTCTCTAAGCCATATACCCAGCATTTTTGCAATAATGGAAGTAAAAATTTTCCAAACAACAGGTAACAACAATATGGGACGAAAGTTAGTAGAATCACCAATTAAACCCTTTTTGTGAATCACTTTAATCTTTATCTCCAACCATGATTTTGGAACTATTGCAGAATCATAAACTCGATTAAATAATTTAACCAAGTGAGATACTAATGAACTCCTAGAACAAGGGTTGCCAAACGTTTTTGATTGTCGACCTCCTACAGTTTCGAAACCTCACAAAAAAAAAGCACTTACTATTTTAATATATTTCTTTTAATTTTGCATTTTTTTCATTTATTGTATATTTGTTAATAATAATTTTTGTAACTGATAATCAGTGAGACGGATAAGCTTGATAATAGATCCCCCAATAATGTTATATCAACCCCCAGGGGTCAATATTGACCACTTTGGCGACCCCTGTCCTAGAATAAGCAATTACAGACGGTGAAATATTGTCTATCCCAGAAGCAAAATGTAATCACATCTTTTGGATTTCAATATTTACCTCTGAGGCTGAGATAGGGAGGTCCAAAAAAGAATCAGTCACTGGAGAAGCCACTGGGAAGGGCAGGATATGGATGCATTTAAACCGAATAACTGCTTATAATAGTTATACAAACCTACCAAAGAAATCTCATGGTCTGGAATACTCCTAACCCCCTGAAGATGGCCTACACAATACCAAAAAATTCTGGAGTCTCTTTTGCCAGTTGTAAGCCAAAATTACAATAATATTTTCTCTTTTCACCCTAATAAATAAATTATATTATTCATCCCCATGTGTGAGCGGTTTAAGCGTAGGGTGTGACCACGTGCATCTCACTTCTAGAACTCACCTTGAAAATACAGTAAAGTGGCGATTAGGATTGAAGACAGTCTAAGCATCCTTTTGGTGAAAGAGAAACTCGTCGTCATCACAAACCAACCGGAAAATGTATTGAATAGAATCATAACCCGTACAGTCAGCACGTGTTCTCTTTTATCCCTCTACAGCAAACAATACTATAAACTACGATATCGAAAGAGGGTGAAAGTGTTCTCTCATTTGACTTAAATCATTGTAGAGGATAACGAACGATATTAGCGTTCGGGATCAGTCCTAGTAGGAGGCATGTTCTCACGTCTTCCAACACACAACAAAATGCGATTTTAACGAGTTGCTCATCGACATTCGCGCCTTGTCTTCCGCATGCGCGCATTTACTCTAGGGCATGCGTTGTAGTAAGCTAGATGGGTATCGAGAGGGGGGAAACGGACGAAAAACATCCCTCCCTCTCATTCTACAAACTGAAAATTTTCCACCCTCCCTCAACCTTTCCGTCTTTCAAAAAGTTAAAAAGTATAGCAGATGCGTAAAGTCTTCTTAGCTATAGACAAGTGTTTCGACGTTGACTTTACCAGCTGAGACATGGAATCAATTGTACAGGCAACACTCCTGTTTAATATCAGATAATAAGCGTTTTCCAACTACAATTCACTTATCTAATTACTGACTAACCAACATCAACACAGCCGATGCGCTATCAAAGAGTAAAAAGAACGTCCTAAAGTTAATTATCATCCACTTCTACCACCTTTGATGTGCTTCCATACATGTTTGAGTGTCCACTTCAGGACCTGCGGGGTTGCTCTAGCGCTTATTCTCAACGTACTCGATACAAATAAATCGTTAGGTTTGTGTCGGTGATGTAGCTTCGGGGATACCTCTCCGTGTGGGGATGAGAAATTGGCTAGAGATTACGGTCCTTTCTCAGGAAAAAAAACAAAAAATAAATAATAAAAAAAGAGGAAATCTCTCCTGCTTCTCCGTGGCTCGTTTGGTCTAGATGTAATGATTAGTGCGACAGTGAAACTGGCATCGAGTTGGATAGAACCATACGTTTCGCTTTTTAGCACTGAAGATAGGATAAAGTTATCTCTGGAAATTTTCATTCTTCAATAGGACATCAATCCGGCTCGGGTAATTTTATTTCATTCTAAAGGATTTTCTTGTTAAGATCGGTTAGATGCGATAATATATATATCTTTCTACCTTTTAAGTCGAACACTTTGGAAAATTCTCAATAAATATCGTTTAATATTTCCCATATAAATCTATAATTAAAATTATTAAAAAATGAAATTAGAACTCAAACTTTTACGTTGTTTCACATAGAAAATCGTCAATTTTTAATAACATTTTAATAATTTTTTTTATTAATATAATTTAACACGTTACTGCTCCCGAATACAACTCTATATTTCCTCTTATAACTCATCCATATAATTATAATTAACGAAATTTCATATACAAATCGATATACTTCCAATTTCAATAAATGTAAATTCTAAATAAATAAATATTTTATATTTATAAAGTAAATATTTTTAAAAAAATATATTCAAAAATGATGATAATTTAATTTTTTTTTTAATCTATAGAAAAATAAATTATTTTTATTTTATTTTAACCTATAACTTTCCTGTATATGTATTGGTATATATATATTTTAATGTAAATATATTCCCAATCGTTTACTGATTTATAAACATTAAATCTTTAGAGTCTGAATATGTATAAAGTCGAATGAAAATGTTACAATATGTAGAACTTCAAGCACTTTCTATTTATTTAGATTTTTACTAGAATTTTAACTTTTCACAAACAAACAATTTAATATTCTTACCTATATGTACGGCAGTTTCTTACCTTAATTCTAAATAGAACTGAGATTCCCAGTTGACCAGACATCTACCATTTTCAAGCTAATTTGAATACTCTATTAAATTGGCAGATTTTTTTCATTTCTTCATAACGAAGAGACTTCTTTTCACACACACACACACACACACAATTCTTTTAGCCAGATCTTACTCTTATTTTTTTTTATACTTATTTTTTTTTATACAGAATGTCTATCTGATATGAGCCGTACACAGAGAGAATTGAGAAGTGGTGCATGTCTTAATTCACTAGCTGATATTCGAAAATTTTTCTTTTCCTCTAGAGGAATGCCGACCGACTAAGACTTTACTTTCAATACATATTGAAGAGAGGAGAGAGAGAGAGAGAGAGAAAAAAAATAAATTTTCTTATGAATTCTAGAAATATACATATAATAAATTCTGGTAAATTTTCTAATTAAAACGTTAATTTGGTATTAAATATTATTATTATTAATTTTTTTTATAAGTGGGAATCTATATTTTACTTTTTTTTAAT